TTCTTTTTGGCTGGGCAGAAAGGAAACAAAAAGAGGCATTCGTGAGTCTAATTTCCTCTCTCTGTCCACGGTTGGAGTTGTTTTTTTAACTCCATAGGTCAGAGAACACAGTGATTTTAATCCTTAAATGTTAATAGTTGAAGAGGTATTATTTCCTATGGTTATAATTAACGTTGTGACATTCAATTTATGTTAACACTTTTTGTGTTGATTAAAAATTCCCCAAGTTATGGACTTAATTACATGCAGATTCACCGTTTAAAAAAAATTATAATTAGATCTATCTATTATGATTTCATTATTGAAAACAGGAGAGTTTTATAGGAATAGTTGGCTCTGAGCCATCTAACAGTACATATATTTTCTTGTCATTATCAGAATGTATATATATATATATATACATATTTGTATGTATATATTTATGTATGTATACCTTTCAAGACTTGTGATCATGAGTCATGATTAAGAGAGAGATTAATAAGAATCACCAAACTAAAAATAATAAGGTAATATTGGCCAGATCAGATGATGATAACAATAATAACAATAATTAACAATGTAGTTGAAACGTAATGAGATAATCTTGATGTATAATGGGATAGCTCGCTGCTTTTAGTATGATCATCGTATTAGTCGCCCTGCACAAGGAAAAGTGATGGCACATGTTTCATCAACAATAACTGTGTAATTGTGGAAAGGTTTGGTCAGGAACGAGGGCAAGTGAACTAATAGATCACAAACACATTCAACATTCATTTCCCTCAACCACCTGCAACATTCTCGCTCCTGTGGAGTCTCCTGGTGCCTACCCCTATGTCGATGCCTATGTCCATGGCCATGGCCGTGCTTATGATCATGTTCTTTATGCTCACCCGCCTCGGGAGATGGAGAGGCGATGGAACCAAGCACTGATTGTCTGGGAGAATAAGGGAGCATTGAGCAGGCATAATTAACGAGCACATACTGGGAGGAGCAAAGTGGACGAGGTGGGGGAAGGGACCTGATTGGTTCGCAATCAGAACCCTCGGGAAGCAACACCAAAAGCAGCACCACAAAGAAGGCTAATGTCTGAACCTTACTTGCTTCCATGCGAGCTAATTATGTAAGGAGAAATCAGATGGAATGAGTGTTAACTATATCCCAGATATATACCATTGCTTCAATCATATATATATACACCCACATTTATCATAACTCCTGTTTTCATTCTTAGTTAGGATTTAGGAGAGTGAAACTGTCTTCTTGTTTTATGTTTTATTTTTCTTCTTGAGAAAAGATTGTTAGTTAATGTTTTGGAAAAGTTCAGGTATCCGAACATTTGTGCATGTCTCAATCTCATGCTTTTGGAGTGATGATTTATTAATAATTAATCTTCTTGCTCACTTATTGTCCCCATATAAAAAGACTATATATATTTACTAAACATGATTACATGCATTTCTTTCAGGGGGATTTACATTATAATTTTTTTCTTTACTTGGAGACTTCTAACCCAACAACACAACTTCAAAACGGGATACCATCTACTCCACATAACTACTAGGGCGTATGGTGTTTTGTGGTTGCATTTGTTTTTATTTTCATTCAATTCCTAATCGGCTCGATTTCTACTTCTAATTTTTATATAGCCCAAGTATGTATACTTGAGTACATATTTTCTTTTTTCAATTTTCTGAGTTATTATGATTACTGCTTGAATTCTTTTATTGTAGGAATTCAATTTCTACACTCTAAAGTGGGAGTTGAATTCCTATAGCAAGAAAATTCAAGATACTGGTAATGGTAACTGAAACACAAAAAATTATGTTCTTACTACCCATATGAAGACTAAAACTAAAAATTGGAACTAGAAATTAACTAAAAAATTGAATATGAGTTAAACCAAAAGTGAAAACAACGAACAGAGAGTGGAAAAGCCTAGACATCCGATGTTGCAACCGAAACTCTATAAACGAATATGTTAAGATGTTATGACGCCATTAGTAACAGTAAAAAGCAATGAGATAATAGACACAGTTCATATGGTAAATATTAACATGCAGCAGCCACAAAAAATTAACAATGTAAGTATCATGTTTTGAAAGGTACGCCCAGTTTACTACCTCCTAGGCATTTTAGTTTATGGCAATTAATAGCTTAATGGAGTATTAATTGAGTACAAACACAATCATCAGAGAGTTCACATGTACTTTTAGATATTATTCAGAACACATTTCATGCATCATTTTCCTATTCTTCATTTTGATTTTAGGTCAGAAGTTATTCGCATTCCAAAATCAGTTTTCATGAACCTGCTAGTGTGTAAGAATGCCAGGTTTGCAGTGTCACATTGTTAATTTTCATTTGGTTTAGGCCTAGTAGATCCCAAGATCAAGAATCTCAAAAACAGAAGTCTGCATCAAAAGATCCAGGCTCAAACTACTTTCAACCTTCAAATAAAAAAAAGTAACAAATTAATATCGTCTTTTTTCTAATACGTACATAAAAGAATGTAAGCTGATTCATCATAACTTTGAAATGCAAATTTTCACTACCCTATAAAATTTTAGCTAATTCTTGAAAACATGACCTTGTGCAACTAGAAAAACAATTTCTTTGTACTTCTTGAACACCTAATCGCTGAAGAAGTTCTCTCAAAATATTGCTAAAAGAAGTTCATTTATGTACCCTCATCTGCCTCTTCATGCATGAAATTTATTTCCAAGAATTCAATATATCTCGGCAGATATTTAGGGCACCCAAGACAAATACCAGATGAAGTAAAATGGATACAGTAATTTCTAGAAATAGTAGCACTTTTTTTGTATCAAGGTGTATTAGATATATCATAACTAACGCATTGATCAAGTACACTAAATATATAATGAGTAATTAATATAATACATGGTCCATTTTGTACAAACTAATCAGTTCATCACAAGAAAAATTAGCAAAATGAATGAAATTCTGTGTACCTGCCACTGCAAAATTCTTTACTAGAGATGCCAGTCACAATCTTGAGAAATTTTCATATTCACAGCTGCTCATCACAGCCACGCTCATCCATTTTTTTATTCCTCATTGCCATCATCTCCATGTCCTTCTTAAGCTCCTCTTTTTGCACCCTCAAGTGCTATGCTCTATCTCGCCACCCTTCCTCCAACAACTCAACAAACTTATCTTTTATCTCAT